GCGTAAGGATGGAGGGACGAATACACCTAGAGCAAGTGAAATTAGATCCGCCGAACTGCAAATAGCAGTCAGCTGAAGTGGCCCGCAGTACTGCACCCTAACCCCTGCGCCACCTTGTTTGGTTGCCTCATCTATGAAGCCTCTGAGCCTGCTGTCAGATCTGCCTCCACTTGGGCTCCCAGGTAAAGGCGATCCTTAGCTCCATTGGTTGGGAAAAGTGGTGCAGTTGATTGGAAGTCAAGCGAATGACAGTCATGAATGGAGAGTTTGTGCCAGTTGGCTTTCCTCCCTTGCTCCCTTCCCTTTCTTTGTCTCCCGTTGTCCAGTCAAATTTAAAAGAGATGGTTTGGAAGCAGGTGGATGTTCTTCTCCCAGGGAGATGGCCTTGAAGGCTTGGTTGGTTCTCATGGAGAAGACTTCTCACAGTTACGTCTCACTTTCCCGCAGGCCCTCGGCCCCTTGCCCTCCCTTCCGGCTTCCCCCCAGAGCTCATGGCAGATTGGCAGGGAGGGGGCAGTTCAGATGTTGGCCGCAGGGCCAATAGGAGACAGAAGGAAAAGGGAAGGGAAGGGCCTCCACACAGTCCCTGGTCTCTTGCTATTGGATGGGTCCTGTGAAGCAGGACTTCTAGGGCCGGCCCAGCACCGACAAAGAGGCGGAGTCCGATTCTCTCTGAGTCACACGTTTATTCAAATCTTGACAAAGGAAGGTCCTACCATTAAGCTGCAGGAATCTACCCAGACTTCTTGCCTTCCCCTGGACACGACCAGATAAGGATTCGTGGGTTTTGGAGGAAGTCAAGCTTATGATTCTGGTGGCTGTGCAAAGACTCCAAGCTGGGCCCTCACTTGACCCACTCCTCCCAGCCTAGCTGGCAGTTTCCTGGCATCAGCTGCCCGTTGGCCCTGTTGAGGGTGGCCTGTCCCTTATTGGGTAGGAAGGTCTCCTGGAATATCTCCTGGGGTCTCGTGAAGATTATTCAGGCTCTCAGATCCACCCTATCTCGGACTCTGATACAGCAGAGCAGGCTGAGGTTCTTGGATGTACAGTCTGGTCATCAGAGGGGGCATTCAGCAGGTTCTGACCAGTTCTGGAGAACTGTTGTAATATAGTTCCTTGTGTAGGTGTGGGTCACCCATGGCCCAGTTCATACCAGGGCATGCAGAGCCACGCTG